AAGATGGCATAATACTGTTTTTCTTTTACTTATTTTCAGTGTTTATCTCACCCTTGACTGCAGTGCTTTGCTGAGTAGGAAACGCTTGAAAAATATTCTCAATTACTCGCATTCTGGTTGAATTAACCTTTTTAAAAGAATTTTCCGCATAGGGAAAAAAAGAGTTTGTGAAATTGTGAATAATGAGTTTGTCTTTTTTTTTTTTAAAGAGGGAGGGGTATTGTTGATTTTGATGCTATTATGAGTGAGCCAAAGAAGTGTGTCTTCATTGTCTTGAGCACAAAAGATTCAAAATTCAGTGACCTCCCCAAACTGCACCTGGCGATCCCAGCTGATAGCAGAGGAGCGTATAGGGCAGACCGAGAATTCCCATTTATCCACGACACTGGTACCAATATTGCACAATGCTGCTTTAATATCCTGCTTGGAAGGCGCTTCTCCAGATTTTGCCATCAGATACGTCTGCATTTTAAATGACAATATTTATCTTCTAGCCAGCGACTCTAGATAAGGTTGCTTCGTTTCTATCTTTTCTTCATTTTCATTTTACAAAGGCAAAATGATCTATGCAAAACAGTGTAAATATTATTTAATTACATTTTTGCCTGTCTAAAACCGCAATTTAACTCTGAATGCTAGTAACAGTTTCTGCAAACTGATTTAATCCTAATGTCACCCATGGAAGAGGCGTTTAAAACGAGTTTTTAAAAGTACATTTCTTTTAAATAAACTCTACTTATTTTGATGGAAATTTGCAAAATAGAAGATTCGGAAAGCAATGCAGATTTACTATTTAAATTAGATGGATACCGACATCACAAGTGCAAACATACAAATAGAAGCAGATCGGTGCACTTCAAGAATGCGAAGATGTATTCCTACATATTGTTTTCTTTTCTTTTTTTTTTTCTGTGAATCTGTATTTCACGTGTGAGTATATGTATATAGATAGAAAGAAAAGTAGCGATAAATATAAAGGCATATTTATATATAACAATAAAGGCATTCAAAGAAAGCTTATGTAGGCACAATATCTACTACATATGTCTTTATATGTCCACTTAGGTACCTTTTTTCATGTCTAAGCTGTCCTTGTCTGATCTGATGGACTGCTTACAGTGGCTTAAAGTGGGGAGGGACATTTTGCACAAGAGGGGGGTCTTCTAAATTTGGGACCATGAAATTGTGTTTTTTGCCTGGTAGGCTGAAGACAGCTCATCCCTCAACGGGAGATTTCAAAAGAGTAAAAAAACATCGTTTAGAAAATCCCTTTGCATCATCGGTTATTGATCAGACATCCACCCCCTAAGTGTCTAAATACTTTAAGATGTTACAGATTTATTTTTAAAGGACTCGGAAAACGTAAAACTTCCATCCCCAAAAAATAATGAGATTGTGAAGGAAAAAGTCCCAAACATAATCGCTGGGCACAACCAACCCGATAAAACTGTTGCAGATTGGTCCTTTTTATTTATGCTAGTTCATACCAAAGCAGTCTAAATGCAATAGCATAATTGATAAGAAAGAGTCAAATAAATAGTCCTGATTTTATTTTTATGCTTTTTGGGCTTTGCTTTGTACTGTTGTTCTGGAGTAACCCGTTTTATGTTGCTGTTTGTATCTATTGTTGTAGATTGAAGGACCAATCTTATTTATAAAGCGACCTTAAATAGTTTCTCCTGGGATTTCGAAAGCAGGTATTTCTGTAAGAGGAATTTTTGCCATCGGGTGAGTCTTAGAGGGGGAATCCTTTTAAGTGGGATTCTTTAAAGCTGTCTGGTTCTTTTGACTTGGAAAATCAAGCTTTGCCAGGTAGTGCTTCAGTTTCAGTAATTCCTCCATCAGAAAAGCAGAATAAAAAAAAAGAGAGGACAGCCAGGAAAAATAAATAGACTGTAAATGGGATAATTACTGCAAATGAAGTCCTCAATTATTTACACTAAAGTTCTAAAGTTGCGATTAATCTGTGCCAGCTATATAAGGCCAGGTACTGCCTACTTGGGTATCAGAAGTAAACAATGCTACATGACACCTGATAAAATATAACCGATTTACTCCTGGAAAGGATCTATCTATGCATCGGTCCATGCACTTTGTTACTATTGTTGATGTTACTCCTGTCTTCTTGCAATATCTTTTTTTCTTTCTTTCTTTCTTTCTTTCTTTCTTTCTTTCTTTCTTTCTTTCTTTCTTTCTTTCTTTCTTTACTAGATTCTATTGTACATAACCCTACTGTATAGTTTTGATTTTAGGAGACAGTGCTGGAGTGTAATGCCCCAGACTTCAGTTCATGTAGTTGCTGTACACTGCTTTATAATTTCTCCAGTCTGTGTTGCATCTTATTTTCCTGTTCTCAACTATTATATGTGTCTACCTCTGACTCGCACCCCCTCTTCCCTCTTTCCCAGGAGGTAGGAGGTGGCAGCAGCTTGTCTTGGTGGCCACATATTAGATAGAGGATCAGCTGAAAGCCCTTCAGTGTTATTAGTGGAGGAAAGAGCACAGTGTGCTCATCTTGAGGTTACAGATATAATAAAGTACAAATAAGAATTACACCCCTAATCATCCCAGTCTACAGCGCTCGTTTGTTGTAGAATGTAGAAGGAAGACAGTATATGTCAACACACACACATACTGTATATATATAGAGGGAGAGTGTTTGAGTTGTGTGAGTTGTGTGAGTGTGTCTTAATTGATAGATATATAGATTGACGGAAATCATATGTATATAGATATGCATATAAAGATATCTGCGTGTGAGTATAACCATAGCTATAGTTGATAAATAGATAATGTATGGGAGAAATTATTTATTTAATCCATAACTCCTTTAAATATCGAATTAGTTTAAACGCATCTGAAATAAACAGAGGGGTCCTCTGGATGCTGCAAATGAATGGAATAGTTTGTACACCGTAACCATCAGCCCCAATCATTCTCAATGCCTGCCGTTTAAAAAAAAAACAAAAAAACATTCTTATGGATCCTATTAGACGGATTTGCTATGCGAAATCTAACAATCTGTTGTAAAATATAAGGAAAATACATCGTAGGTATAGTACAAGCTGTCTAAATATCTAGTTAACTCACTGCCCAGATCAAAATAATTCCTAACTGTATCAGGGTGGCAGTAATCCAGTTTTATTCCCAATTCTGCAGACATTTCATGCTTCTTAAAGCTCTGCCACCAGGAATCTGGTTCTCATTTAGATCCAGTTCCATTGCCTCTACCTGGAAGCTGATTAGTCTGCATATTATATAAGCAAACAACAAGGCAAGGGGGTGCCTGCTTAAGGTACTTTCTTTACACAGTGTTAGTTCACATACTCAGCATTGCAGCCACCCCTCATTCTAAGGAAATATCTTTAATGAGAACGCCAGTATTCCTTATTCTTTTATTTACTACATACACTAAATTTATGAAAACCCATGCAAAGAAACTCGAATCAAAAGCGCACCTGTCACTCAAACTAAGACATTCATTTCAATCTTACAAAATGGAACAGGAGTTCGATTAGTTGCTAAGGGCAACTGCTCCAACTATGCTACAGCCTAAATTAATCAATCCAGCATTCAATACTTTAAAAGAAAGCATCATTGACAATATCTGCATTTGTTCTAAAGTAATAGTTAATTCGTTTTATCGTGTTTTATTTCTGAAATGTTTGCTTTATATGGAAACAAAGCTGACTTCTTGCAAAGCTTTAATAATTATATTTTGGGGCTTATATACAGTTCATATTGTCAGCAAGCTAGCAGGCAAATCCGCTGATAAGGAGGGAGGTTGTTCAAACAGTGTTGAAACTCTGACCCCTGCTGGCCGTGCGAGGTAATGAACATTGTAAAAAAAATGTACTGTAATAAGGGCTTTAACATTTTCATCGTGACATTTGCATATCAATAATTATAAATTCGTGCAAATCCTAGAGAAACGCTTTGTTTAAATTTGCTTCTAATATTACCTTGGATTGTGGCAGAGAATAGCCTCCAGTGCTTTGTTTAACGTGTGCTCTTAAATAAGGCACAGTAGCAAAACCATGCATGCGATAAACTATTAACATTTGAGTGTAGTGATCCTTATGTTGTTGTTGTTGTTGTTTTTTTTTTTTTTGTTTCCACAGGCACCCTTAGTATTTTCTCAAAAAATAAAGGCTTGCATTTGTAGGTTATATAAATACTTGTGCGGCATTGCAGCAGTATTATCCATTAATTAGGCATCTAAAGGGCAGCGCAATATTAAGATTTTATATTGTCCCAAGAGGGACTGGCATGACTTGATCCTTGCTTGGTAAGAAAAGGGTATTGAGGATTGATTATCTGGAAGACGAGGGATTTTGTCTTAATAATAACAGACTTGCTGTCAATAAACAGGTTGACCCTTTCAATGCTGCTAGGGCTCAGCACGGTGT